TTCGTACGTTCAACTTCCGCTTTGGTTGGCGTTTTCTACAAAACAACAATAAAACCACGCAGGAGACACACCGTCAAAGTGCGCGCGCGAGCGCACGCCCGGATGCATTAACGATTAACTCGTTAAGAGCCGACGCACGGACCGTACGCACATTGCACTCTTATTAACATTAACATCATTAACGGCGTGAAGTGCAAGGCACCCGCTGCCCACACGACCAACAAATCTCCGTTATCACTAATTAATTAACCGCCGAATCACAAAAATATCAAAAAATAAAATCAAATGACGGCAAGGATGGAAATTTCGTGTCAAAGATGAAAAAATACGATTACCTGCGAATTGGCGCACAACCAAGACTCAATCGTCCGCGCACAATTTCGCGAGAAAATCTGGCGGTGTGCGATATGTTGAAAGAGATTTTCGACGAACGTTTCGTAATAAATTTTTGTGGAACACGCGACGATAATTGCCCGCAAGCTTGCCAGATCGCTAGTTTATTTTGTCTACGGTGTCTCAAAGCAAACGAAAAAATAAAATATAATATATGCCACCACAATTCGGTATAATTTAGTTAAATTGAGGCGCGGGATGAAAATTACGAGCGTGCGGTGCATATAAAGCAAAAAATCCATTCGCGTTACAGTTATTAATTAATTACCCAAAAACTAATTAAGCTAAATTAATAATTTCTTCAAAAATCTATAAAGTATTAAATTCTGCATCTAATTATGTAAAAAATTTATTGCTAGCAAGTTTTATTCATAAGTTAGAAACAAATTTGTGTGGAGTACTCAAATTTTTACAAAATTAATTATAATTGTTTATAACTTTTGATGTTATAATCCGATCTTAATAATTTTTAAAAAATTAAACGTAGAATTTAATACAGTATCAACTACTAAAAGATTTATAAAAAAATCTTCAATAGTTTTAAAATTATTAACAAAAAACTACAACTATGACACTATAAAAATAGATCAGAACAGTTACCATCCACAACATGCAGCTGGATGCAAAGTACATTCATACACTCATTACATCGCGAGTGTGTATATTTATACAGACAAGTCGATTAGTCTAATACGACGTGCTGGAAGTCGTGTGATATTTATTTGAACAACGCGCACGTATTACAACCAAACGACTTAAATACACCGAGTTTTACACAGGCGAGTGTCAAGGAAGTCGTAGCAAAATCGATTTCGCACACGAGCATTCATCATCGCCGGTACTTACTTTATATTCGATTTTATTTTGCAACCTTTTGTGCGAAATTGCGCTTTCGCCGGCGTGCGCACGCTCGCTTACTTTCGTGCCGCGCAGTGTTTAAACAATATGAAAGAAAAAAAAACGCGAGCGCGCGAGAATTTCACGCTCGCCGTCGATGATTACACAAGATATTTAAAGAAAACAATTCCGCGTATAAATCCGCGCTGTAAATCATCGCCAGCGACGCTGCCGCCGATGATTGCACATGAATTATATTTGTTTGCATAGTTTAGCGCGCGCGAATAAATCAAACGATCCTATCGAAACGCGCGCACGACGCGCAAGTCTTATTTATGTTGCTCGGTGCGGAACAATTCAAATTAAAAATCGTGATGAATGATGATGAATCTTATAGGAAATATTCAATGTTTTACTATAAATATTCACCAAAATAAAATTTGTCGTCTATAATATAAAAATGAATTGCAAAATAACTCAACAACGCCGAGGCCAATTTGGCCAATTCTTTTATTTTTAAATGTTTGTTGAAGTTCAAGGATGGTTTTTAGGGCGAGAAAAATTCGAATAATTAGCAGAAAACCCTAAAGATAGCCCTTTTCTATAAGATAAAAGTTGGCATTGAGATTCAATCATAGTTATAGTTAAATAGTTGAATCCGAGATGGCGCGCTGAAGTGTATTATTAGTATTTCTTTATATCTATATATATAAAATTTGCGTGTCACAGTGTTTGTTTCCATACTCCTCCGAAACGGCTTTACCGATTTTACCAAATTTTATATGCGTATTCAGTAGGTCTGAGAATCGGCTAACATCTATTTTTCATACCCTAAGTGATAAGGGTTGTTCACCCTTAACTTTTTTAAATTTTTGGACAAATTCTTTTGTTTTTGTTTTTTATAATGTGGAATTAAAAATACATACAACCCTAAATTTTAGTTTTTATCACCAACCCCTATTTCTTTATAGCCATTTTAGTAATTTAATCATTTTTCATCCCGCTCAAAGAAAATTTTTATATGCGTATTCAGTAGGTCTGAGAATCGGTAACTTCATATCTGTAAGTGATAATGGTTGTTCACCCTTAATTTTTTTTAAATTTTGGTCGAAATTTTTTGTTTTTAATTTTTTAATGTGTTTTAATTAATTTTATTAAAATATACAATTTTTGGTTTCTTATCACCAACCCCAATTTTTTATAATAAGTAAGTTACTTTTTGTCTACACTAAAATTTATCTAGAAACTTGAAATAATTTATATGGCAAAACAACGTTTGCCCGGTTAACTAGTAATTAATATAAAATAAAATTGCGAATCTTACTGATAGAATTGACACATACTATGTTTAGTACAAGAGAGTAAAAACGAATAACATTTTTATTAAACACTACCGAGACAAAGTCGCGAGCAAAAGCTAGTTTAATCATAAAATGACTATTCTACACTTTCCTATGACTAAATTTAAGCAGGAAAATATTAATTAACACCAATTCAGCAGTGTGTAAATTATTTCTTATTTCTCAGCATACTAAATTTAAGTAGAAATGTGTATAATTTAAAAATACAGATCGTTTAATATGTTTTCTTGGCGTGTAGCAGCAAAAAAACCACAACTCGAGAGACAACCAGCTAAATTGATGAAATTCGTCGAAACGGCCGTTAATCAGCAGCGAACATGCCGTGATTAATGAAACGGTTTTCACACGCATCTAATTCTGTTCTACACGCTTTCACAACACCCTGCAACGACTTTTTTTTGCACCAAAAAGCCAAGCTTCCTAAAACTCTAGAAAATCAACGAATTTTCAGCAATTGAACGCGTCCCGTAGGTGTACGTAAACAAAGTAGAGCATATGACAAGCAAACACGATTTGTTTGGCAAATAAACCGAATGAAAAGTGGGCACCGCGTTGGGAAACACGACGCGCGTCATAAAATTATGAAAGAAAACACCTCATCAATGTAAAAATTTTGAGCGAAAAAAACCAACCAACGATAAAACTTAGATTTACTACAATAACATGCAAAGTGAAACTAATTCACAACGATTGAAGTCTTTCCAACAATATAAATCAAGTTGTTACCGATCGCAGAAACTCGTAGTGAATATAATCCTACTTTGCACACTTTGCACTCTACGCATTATAACACTGTTGAATTACAGCCGTAATACTCTTCGTAGAAGTCAATCTCATGATGTAATTTCGGCCGCCGGCGCTAGCACATTTTCTTTCTGCGTTTCACTACGGTGTATGTAATCTAGGTTTACACGCGTTTTAAAAAGCCTCACGTGATGATAATTAATACGGCAAACACACGTATTCCGCTGCCAGCACTAAATTATTATGACTGTGTGGAGCGCATAATGCATGCCTTTTGAGAACAGTTTAGATTCACCTTGTTTTCACCTTACAGTCGGCAATAAACGCGCGCGAAATAAAAAGAAAAAACGTATCAATTTTCAACTGCGGATAAAAACCTTGAATTGGCATTGAGGTAACATCATTAATTACCATCATAACGTATTGTGCCCGGTATTGGGTATTAATATTCACAATTACAAGATGCCTGAAGCTAGCAATCGTTTTATGCAAAATTGTTGGTATAATGTGTTTTAAAATATTAATGTAAGTGAAGGTGATTGTTGTAGAACTTGTTATGGTTATTCACAAATAACTCAAAAACTAATCGACGTAAATTAATGATTTGTTCAAAAATACATTCAGAGTTAAATTCTGTATCTATTTAAATCAACATTTTATTGATAGTAAGCTGTTATCAAAAGTTACATGACAATATATGTCAAATTAGTGAGTTTTTCAATGATGTGGTATAGTTTTTCATTAATAACTCAAAAAGTAATCAACATAAAGTAATGATTTCTTCAATAATCAATTCAGAATTAAATTCTGCTTCAATTTAAACAAACATTTTACTGATAACAGATTTTTATCAAAAGTTACACACCAATTTACCTCAAAATACTTTTTTTTTTCATAAAATCCAACTTTAATTGTTTATAACTTTTATATAACAATCTAACAAACAAAATATTTAGATGTAGAATTTCATTGAGAATGTATTATTGAAAGAATCAAACATTTTGCACAAATAGTTTCCGACTAAACGATAAATGTTGTATGCTTCTGGCGCCGGTAACATTAGCATGTAAAACACGACAAAATGCGACAAAACATTTAAATGCTGCTTAAAATTCAAGTGTCGCCCGGCGTGCTCATGTAAAAGGCCCCTAATAGACGCATTAATAACTCGCGCTGTCCCCCAATGTCACATTCAATACCGAATGTTTGTTGACACACAAAATTAATCGACGCCGCTCGCGATTGAAATATGTGTTTTCAATAAACTGAATAAACTCCAATTCACTACGGGCGCTGGCAGTGACGACCTCAGTCTTATCAGTAGATTACGCAAGCCCGATGCATCAATATTTATCAATATTTGCTGAGAGCTCACACAATCTTACTCCAGGTATTCGATGTTTATACACATATAGAAACAAAAAATGGAATATTCTGGGTGATAGATAGATTTATGTATTACTAAGACGACGCTTTGAGTAATGCCCATGCGAATGCAATGCAATGCAGAGCAACTGAAGGTGGTTGTTGGTTGTGGTTGTCTGCCTCTGCGCATTGCATGCCATTGCGCGCTCGAAGCGTCGTCTTGAGACTTGTTGTGTCTCCGCGCTATACAAGAGGATGCGTGTTCCGCGAAGCCGAAGAACTCGAAGGTCTGGTACTTACAGTCTCGGGGTTACAGCTGGCTCCGGTGGAAATAACGCATCGTGTCCGATACTCCGCACTTGCACACACACTTTTCCGACTTTTCGCACTTTCCGCACACGATCGCGACGTCGTCGTCGGCGGCGCGCACACACCGCACTCGTGGGGGCACAAAAGCGGCGGCGAGACGATGCGCGGACGTCGTGCAGTCCGGTGACGAGATACGCGCACGCACACCAACTAAGTTGCTAGCTAACATTCAGCGGCTTACAACGCGATCGCCATCAGCTCGTCGCTGCTCAGGCTCTATCCATCTCGCTTGCGGCGTGTCGATGCAGGACGCACACAATGCACACTGAGCGGCAGCGGGCGCGCACATTTGCGGCACCGCACGCCGATGGCAATATGGCGTCGGCGAGTGACTTTTGTTGCGTAGAATACGTGGCGCCATCTACCCGCTCATATACTTAACTAACCACTAGTGAATTATACACTGTGTTCCCTACTTTTCAAAACATCATAAAACTTTGCCCAATCATGAAGCAATAACTTCAAAAGTTGAATCAATATTATCATAATAATAAATTATTGTTTATATAATTTAAACAATAACAAAAACGTATTTGAATGACTGCCACAAACGCTTTTAAAATAAATCACAAACACACATTGTATTTGCGCTTTGTGTTAAGTTATGTGACCGACAAAACAAAGTCAAGTGCAGTGTCAATATAACCTCAAATGTAGATTTTTAGATTTTGCAGGAATATGAATGTATTCATATTAATTTCGCTGATTTTCTTACAAATTAACGCGATTTCTTGCTCGCGTGGTGATAACAGTGGAATATTCCGTAGCTGTCTTCGAAATTGTCACATTACAGAATGTTTAGGTGAGTTTTTCACTCAGAAACTTCAATCCACATCTACAAATTCTATTTTTATCTCTATATTTATCATAGATGATGACACGTTTCTTGATGAAGACAAAAGACCCTTTCATTTGGTTTTATTAAATTGGGGTTGTCGCGATGAGTGTAAATATACTTGCATGTGGAAGACAATTGATGACTTTAAAAGTCGAGATAATCCAATTCCACAATTTTATGGAAAAGTATAAATTTTAACAGATTTAAATTAAAGTAAATGGTTTATCACATAATAATTTGTATTTTAGTGGCCATTTGTGCGAATTCTGGGCCTACAAGAACCAGCATCAGTTTTATTCTCACTTTTAAACATTTATGTGAATTTCTCTTGCATAAAACAATTTAGAAAGAATGTGAGAAGTGACAGTCCCATGTATTGGGTGTGGCATGGATTCTGTGCAGTAAGTAATTGCAGAGTAGTAAAAATTTGAGTAAAATGTAAATTGATTGTAGGTATGTTTGAATGCATGGTTTTGGTCAACGGTGTTTCACGCGAGGGATTTTCCGTTGACGGAGTTTCTCGACTATTCGTTTGCGTTTTCAATCATGTTGATGAATTGTTATTGCATGTTTTTAAGGTGATTACAAAACTGGGGCAGAATTGGTTATAATCTTTGAAAACTGGAATATTTTATCAGTTTTCAATGATTATTTGGTTTTTTAAACTATGTTTGTGTTAGTTTTTGAATTTGATATTATTGTAGGGTGATGCGCGGCACACTGCCACGTTTTTTCAACATATTGGTAACCGCATTATTTGCAGCCTTTTACCTGAATCACATTTACTATTTGAGCGGGCCTAAATTCGACTACGGCTATAACATGGCCGTGAATATAATCGTAGGCTCCATTACCGTCTTCGGCTGGTTCGCCTGGTCTCTCTACAATCGCTTCCGGTTGCCGTACGTGTGGAAAGCCGGCCTATTCTTTGCACTCTTTGCCTTATCAACACTGCTCGAGATTGTCGATACGCCGCCATGGTTTTATCTTATTGATTGCCATGCATTGTGGCATTTTACCTCCGCGCCCATTACGTATATCATATACAGGTATAAATTCTTATATTTATTATCATTAGAAAGGTAGTGATTATTGGTTTTATTGTTGCAGTTTTATTATTGACGACTGCAAATACCTCCGGAAACAAGTGCAATATGCAGACATCGAAAACGTATCAAAAACGGATTGACACATTTTTTGATAAAGCATTTATATTTTTGTTTATTCATATTTTCAGGGAATTTATCAAGATAGATGTCCTGCATGAATCAAAAGAAAATGAGTGTTGCGTTTAGCCAGTTTTATTCCTATCAATATAGGAACTTATTACACACTTGCATTTTATTGTTATTCATATTCGTTGACTGATTTATAATCGATTTTATAACGTGTGTTGAGTTTGTAGTCTAGTATAGATTGTGTAGAAATTAAATTTCATTGTTAGTACACAAACTGTATTTTTAATTAGTATTTAATGTTACCTGTGAGCGTAGAATAACATCTGTCAGTTGTAAAACAAATAAATTTGTCTTCTTGGCTGTGTCAAAAGTCCAAAATTTTATTTGTCACTGACATGTGTGTGAATATGTGTTCGTTAATTTTGTAAAGTAAAGTAATTTGCGCCTGCAAAGCAATGCAAAATTCATGTCACATCATAAACCGCCAGTTTCACACAGAGACTCGCAACCCATCTACCTGCAATTCGGTAAATATCAGAATGATGAAATTCGCTATGAAGAATCAAGGAACAGAAACAAAACCAGCAAAGAATCACGCACTAAGCGTAATAATGCGTCGTTGTCTTCGATCTCCAGCGGCAAACGATGTCATTCGACGCCGGCAAAGCTGTACAACTCACAACATCGCAAACACAGCCGAGTCTCCACCCACGAACGGCAGATTATAACGCAGAAACTGCAGGAAATCGACGATTTGCGTGCGAAAATCTTAGAATTACAATGGGTGCTCAGCAGCCATCAGGACATGTGCTCACAATCGATGCAAAAGAAAAGCAGTTGCTTCGCATGTCTACAAAGGAGTAGCAACAGTAAAGTTGATATAGACTATTCGAAAATGACATTGGATCAGATGAGTACAGAAGTTGTGTTTAATTCAAGCCGGGAATCATTGCCAAAATTATGCACGGAAGTTGCAAAAGTAAAAAGATATCGTAAGCGTAAAAAATGCAAAAAGAAGAAAAGAGTTTGCGAAAAAAAGTCACAAACCATGCAGACAGGTAGCAAACAAGAAACAAATCCCCACAAACAACCGAAAATAACAAATACTAACACTATTGTTTTACCAGAACTATATAGTTCTAATAAGAGTTCATCTTCAGAGGAAATCATGCAACTTGCTGAAAAAATCCAAGCACAAAATAGCGAAATCACACAGATAAAGATCTCTCTTCAAGAATGTCTTGATCTGTTACGAAATAAGCAAAAAGAAGAATCACGGAGTGAATATCTTATTGAGCAACCATCAGCAAACTCAAAATCAAAGTGGGATGAATGTATCTACCTTAATTACATGCAACAGCGTAAAAATAACACACTCCCGACAGAAGTTTTCACATGCAGCACGTACGATGATAGATTCTACACTTATGTACCACCTCCACCAAAGCCTGAACCTTGTGGTTTCATTGATTGTGCAGAAGTCGCCAGACCCAGTGCTTTATTAACGGTGCGTAAAGCCGAAACATGCCAGGATAAGAGAAAAGAAAAGAAAAAATCTGGGTGTTGTGCAAAAAAGTCACAATCACAAGATCGGCGAGTTGTCATTGTTAGAACGCCAACAAAGTCGACAGTGGCGTGCACAAATACATCCTGTACGGATCTTTGTGATAACTTTCTGGACAGTTGTTATGATAATGAGTATAAAGTACCGAAAAAGTTCAGTCCGCTTCCACTGCGCTACTATCCCAAGGAACATAAAATTGTGTCCAGTGACTGCTGCCTCCCTAAATTTATCGAAACCCACCGTAAGTCAAACACGAACGGAATTTGTTTATTATTACTTTTTTATCTATATTATTATACAGAAGGTAAAAAACAAACACAAACTAAGCACGAGAAAGAAAAGAAACCGGTAGTGTCCACGCAGACAGAACAAGCGCATCCGCACATCGAAGTGTTGGGAAGGGAAGATAAAGAACGGCACAACGAAAAAGGTCGGCACGAAGAAACAGAACATCATAAAGATAAAAATCGGCATGAAGAAAGAGGACATCATAAAGATAAAGATCGACACAAAGAAAGAGAACACCGTAAAGAAAAAGGGCACTGTTCAAGTAGTGGTACCCAAAGTCATCGTCGACCAAATCCTTGCCATTGTCCTGATCGGCGTCGAAAAAATGTCTTCATGCGTTGTTTACTATGTATGTTTTGCAGGAATTTATAATATATATAAAAATAACTTAGTTTAGCTTACGATTTCGAAACGCGTTCACATGATGAGTTGCGATTTTATAGAAAATGGACGTCTTGCGCACAGCGCCAACGGAAACCGTCCTCTGGTAACACTTTAATAACGAGACATCTTCTTCAGCAGGGTCCAGATACTTTTGAACATCCGTCATCAACTGAAATAATAAGTTTATTATCAGATGCATTATAAAAAGTACAATTTTACTTACCTCATCTTCAGTAACGTTAAATATTTGAACAATCGCTGCGTATTCTGACCACATAGCTTTTCTAAACTTAACATTATGGCGCTGCGCCAGTGGTACCAACATAAACTGCCCAAACAATTTATCCCCATAACTTACACCCTGATACTGTTCAAGAAGTTGCGTGTATAAATCTTGAAAACTCTTCAGGCCATGAATTGCTTTATCAAAGTCTAAATCATCATCGTGATTACTTAAAATTTGGTTCAAACAAGTCCTTAACAAGTTTTGAATCTCTGGTAGTAAAAACAACGAGTCACTTCCAAGATATGTACATGCCAGTCGACAAAACTTATCGGTAGGGTTGATCATATTCGCCAAATCAGGAAAATATGTCTCATAGATGTAAACCCATCGTAAACAATTTGATATAATGAAATTCTGCGCTACTTCTGATATTTTCGATGGTTCATTTGAATATAACGCGATTATAGGACTGTAAATCCAGTCAAGCGGCATTATATTAGTTTGTGATACATTTAAACTTCGTACTTTTTGAAGATCTATCACATTCTATAAAGAAACAAAAAATTACAAACAAATAAATAATTTTTTAAATAAAACTTACTTGTTGTAGTCCCAAAACATCAACATAAACCTTTTGAATGTTTACAATATCCTCCAGTGCAGTTTTCAATGTATCATCATCTTGAATATTTAAATGTTTGAGTAAAACTTCACTGGGATAGAAAGTTCTACAGAATATTATGTTGGAAAATAAATATTCCACGCTGGGTTTCATTTCAGCAGTGAATATACACAGAGATTTCACTGCTACTTCATAATATAAAGATGTGTCCAATTGTTTCTGGCTGTGCACCGCCATTTTGAGAACACTCTTAATCAAATCCGCCTCCATTTTTGTGTACCAGTTTGATGTCAGATAGAAGTTATAAGAACTTTGAATGTGTTTCAAGTATAAATTTATGTTTATATGTTGTAAAAACATTAATTTCAACTAAAATCACAACATTAATAGTGGGTTTAGGTTAAGTTTTAAATTTACTTACATTTGTTGAAGTACTCTCTGCAATAAACTCCGCCATTTTGTTTACAAACGGTATACAACTTTTAGTTTGCAATACAGGCACAATGTGATCAACGGCATTCCATGCAATCGATTTAGACATCTTTAAATTGTCGCTTGATTTGAACAATTCGTAGTTATTGAGAAAATTCGATGATGATTTGATATTTTCAGTGACCATTTTGAATGTTTCGGATGTAATTAACATCTCCACTAGTTTATAAACATTTTCCCACGGCAAATGGACATTTGCAGGTTGAAATTTTAAAATAACAGTTAATAAATGAATTAAACAAGAAAGAATTTGCAATTTTCCACACTAAAATCAAAAATATCAAAATCTACATTCATTTTTAAGTATTTTGTATTTAAAACTTACAGAATACGTTGATAAATGTAAAAATTGTGTCATCCACTTAGGCAAACCACTCTCAAACAAAACTTTAACATATTCCAACACACCATGATAATTTACAACCGCAAATTGAGCCAATAAATTCAAAATGGCGGATAAATGAGTTTGAATCGTCCATGATGCATCAACATTGGTGTTTTTCACATGATAATCAATCAATTGCAAGAGAATCGGACGTAAAACTTTGAAATAATCAAGTGAAAAGCCCCAAAACGCTAAGGTTTCCCATAAACGTAGAGATTCTATTTGAAGTTTTAATCCAGCAGTGTTCAATGACAAATTTTCATTTGATAAGTACGTTGCAACAGAATCAAGTACTTTATACCTAAATAAATAAAATATTAACATAAAAAGTTAAAATAAAAGAATTTTACTTACTTGTTTACCAAATGCGACGCCATTTTGTCGTTTCTACTTGCAAGAACACGCATTAATTTGACAGCTTGAATCATTGGTGTGTTATAAGCCGTTGTTGATTGCACTAAATATAAATATAAACATTTATACACAAATTAAAAGCAATTTATTTAACTTTACCTGTTGAAAATACTTTCGGCATGAAATTACCAACAACACTCTCAATCAATCCATCAAACTCATACAATTCCCGTGCAATAAAATCAGAATCTCTTGCTAGTCTAATCAGAATATCCAAACAATTAACAATCGTTTCAATGTCACTTGGTTTGACCACATTAATAATATATCTTATTCTGATTAATATTCCACTACGAAATAAACACTTGACTAAATTCTGTTCAGCCAATTGTTGATCATTGACTGTATTATCATCAACGTCTTCATCAACAGACAACACAGGTTGTATTTTACCTAAACCAAAACCCAGCATACAATCTAAACAAGTCTCATCGATTGTATTGCAAAACAAATTCCGCATTGCTTTAATACTTGAGTTTAAAGTTGCTGGCGTGTTTTCATCCAAACAAAACCGCAAGACAAAAAATATTTGCTCGATAGGCAACTCTATAATGTGATCGTATATGCCAGACGCGTGCAGATTCAAAATGGCGGCGATTGTGTTGAGTGCAATTATCTTTTGTTGTATTACATTCGACCTGCACAATTGAAATAATTCTTGGAGAGTGTACCCAGGGCGTGCGGGTTCTTCACCGTGATGGTATAATATTCTATTTTCATCGTTGATTGATTCTTGTGTGTAAGGTAATAACCAACCACCGAAATCGAACCTTGCTTCATACTTTTCGTCCTTTTTAAGTACAGGTTTAGGCATGTCTTTCATCCATGCTAGTTTATTACCTTCTAAGAGATCAAAATTGATCCATTTATCTGAGTTTGGTTGGCTTAAAATGTCTTTAGCTGGTGATATCTCTTCGATTGATATTTCATTCTCCGGTTGGTTTTGTTCCGCAATGCTTGGTTGACGTGTTTCTACTTTAGGTTGAGTATGATGTCGTTTACTCTTTAAAAACGCGATGATTGCTGGATCTAATGTAGACATGAGTTTTTCTCTTTCTTCTAATATCTCTTCGGGTGTCATTTTGTTCATTTTTTCCAAGTTTTCAAGATGTATTTCTTCTTTTACTGATGTTATAGGTGTCATTATTTTGATTTCTTTACTTGAACAAGGTTTTGGTTGAATATTTTCAACAACTTTAATGTCTGGCATAGGATTTGATGTAGTTTCAGTATCTACAACCATTTTTGTATCATTTGATTTTAATTTTTTCATCTGTTGTGAAAATATACTCCCTTTTGCTGATGAAATACTCATGTCTCTTCTTTTAGCTTGAGGAAATCCTGTCCTTGATAATTTGAAAGCAGACATGGTGCCAGTTGGTTTTTCTCAATAATATTACCAATGTTAATGTTTTTGGAATATCTTCAAAGGTGTTATCAAGGTGTTCTTGGATTTCTTCTTGTTGGGATTGAAATTCTACAGGTTCAACTGATGCTGAAGGTTTAGATGGATCAACTAAATAATTATTTAGTATAGTTCTTAAGAATCATTTAGATTTATCTTATAAATTAGCTAAAATTAGAATACCTTTGGTAGAAACAAGAGTTGATGCAAGTTTAAAGTCACTTTGTTGCTTGTTTTTGAAGAATTCCTCTTGTAGGTTTAGTAGGTCTTCATCACTTTCACTTAGTTTAGGTCGTTGGTACATTTTCACAGCGTGTATTAAGTGTTAAACAACTTTAAACAATTCTGAACAAACCCTGAGCGGTTTGTGTACTTGTGCCGAAACAAATGCAAAATATTTGAGGTTATATGCCAAGAGCATTTTAAAAACACATGTATGATGTTTCAACAACATTTTAGTTTAAAATTATGATTTTCAAACCCAGTTTTTAACTGTTTTAAAAATAAAATTGCGTTTTTACAATATGTTTAACTAATATACTGTTTTTTGAAGTTATTGGTTTTAAAATTAAAGAGCTATCAAGAACTTTTAAATAAAAAGAAGCAAAATTTATTTTCTCAACACCAAGTATAATTGTGAATTGGACATTGACAGATCACAGAACGTTTAAATTCAAAAACACGCACTGAATTTTGATTGTTGCTTATTATTTATTGCGCAGTTCATAATTTTATCCAACTAATATGTTTATTATTTAAGAAAAAAGATATAATTATAATTTACTACTTCAAAAGAGCATATATACTTCAATAATATGTGTAAAAGTTAATAAAACACTAAATTGTTGATAAATTTTGCTTTGATGGCATTATTGTAACGTGAATTTAATCTCCAGTGTCAAATTAATCGTCAAAGTCATGTTACATAACTAAATCATTCGTAAGATATTTAAATTACTCAAGTTCAAGATTATGAATAACATGGTGTGATACCGCATTAAATTTCAATTGTGGCACAACTCACGTTATGTCCCTGAGCATTCAACAAACATAAATGTTTATAAACCGCACATACGTCCATATCGTATTCGTATTTGAATTAATACGCCGAGCAACCTGATTACGCCAGATATTCCACCAGCAGGCGTGTACTGCAACGCGCGTGAGCGTCGGCAAGCCGGTCGATAAATTCAAAAAAGCTCTCCAGCTTGGTTAGTCGCATCCGAATTCTCTCGCAGTGAGCAAGTAAGCGCAGGCAGAGAGCGATAGCAAGCAGAAAGGCGAAGGAAGTTGATTTGGTCCACGCGCATTGCCAGGGGGAGCGCGCAGTTGGGTGCAACCCGTGCAAGGGGTGCAGTATCGGTCAAGGGCAGTTCTTCTGTGATTTAACTCAGGCAGGGCAGGTAGCTTTGTCTGCTTGGAAGCATAGTTTATTCCAAACATTCCATTTGATTGAGCGGAAAACAAAAAAACAAGAAATTAAAGATGTTTTCGAAGGTTTTAAGAGCTTCGACTGTGACGCGAACAAGTGAGTGTTAAACTGTTTTAATTTATAGTTCATTTATGTTGGTTTCTTAAATATAGCACAGAATATTTATAGAATTTTAACTTCATAGTAGTATATTCTACAGTGTAAGTTGAAGTATTTCGTTGAAAATTCAAAAATTTATGAGAAAATCAAGTTTGTTTGATTTTTTTATCAAAAATCAATTTTTGGGACTTTCTAAGTCCCTAGGGTTGTTTCAATTGACGTCACAGGTGAAAATCTCAATAAATGTTTATAAACCATTGAGGAATTATATGGCACTCAAGGATATAATTTTAAAAGCAGACATTTTGCTTTTTTCGCAAAAAATTTACTCAAAATGCAAAATTATTTAGTTTTTCACCGTATTTACCTTAATTTACCAAATTCTGCTTAATAATAATCTAAAACCTTATGCAAATAAACAAAATATTACTCCGAATACCACGTTTTATGATATTTCGATGTTTTTATGTTTTTGATAACCATGCAGTTGTGTTACATAACATTTACCTTCAGCACTTGATAGTAAAGTATTTGCTTTACCCATCTTCTGTTTGTTTTATGTTCGTATATTATCTTGTATTATCTCCGATATTAAGCAACTGGTAACACAGTTTTGCTGAGCAGGATTGACGCATTTTTGAGCAATAACATTAATATTTTACGACATGTTAAAAGTGCATCAGTGGCAGCATAATTTTATTGATATTATTACAGTGTTATCAATATCAATGTTATAATATTATGTAATTTTTATTTAAATTTTTAGGATGCGCTAGTTCATTGGTACCTGGGGAACCGAATGGTCCCACTGTGAAAACCGCTGTTCCTGGACCCAAATCGAAGGCACTGCATAAAGAATTATCTGATATTCAAGTAAGCAAAGCATAAACAAAGTTTTTGTTATCATAAACCTGTTCAATCACTAACAACTAATTTCTTGCAACTTCAACATATCAAATCAACTATAAACTTAGCTGTTTAGTCACGATAACAAAGTTGAACGTAATGTGAACAATATACATATTCATCATTGTATGTATTATCTTCTATCATCTATTCATGAACCGGTTTTTAGTTGGTAGCTCAGTGAGACGCAATAGATACTCACATCTCACACGAAATTGAAAGTAACGAGGCTAAATCAACCTCAATCAAAAACAATTGTGTATATCATCATTAATATTCATAAGAATAGTTGAATATTTGAGGGTCTTGACTGGTCAAGGTTATGCAACCAAAAATATCCTAACTCAATGCGGTACCAATTGAGGATTCAACTTTTATTTTCATTTGTCCTTCAATTATTTTCTTTTTATGATTTATATTCATTCTTAAATGACTTCAATGCATTTCGTAACGCAAATAATTCGAATTATTTAAAGTTTATCGTTTGGTATGCGTTCAATGCTCTAGTTACCAACTGAATCTATGAATAGAATATTTTATAACTGCGTGTTTACTGAGTTTACGGTTGAATGGCATTTGATGCAATTAATACTTTGATATTTTCCAGCAAGCAAACTCGGTTCAATTCTTCGCTGATTATGACCGCTCTGTGGGTAACTATATCGCCGATGTTGATGGTAATGTTCTCCTCGATGCCTATTGCCAAATCTCTTCAATGCCTTTGGGTTACAATCACCCTGAAGCCCTCAAAGTGTTCTGCGATGAACATAATCTGAAAAGTTTGGTGAACCGACCTGCGTTGGGTGTTTTCCCTGGTTCTGATTGGCCGCAAAAACTCAGAGATGTTTTATTATCCGTTAGTATAAAATTTATAACCTAATTTTTAAGTTATTTTAGTTAGGCAACCATACTTACAAAGTTTTATTATGTAGGTTTCACCTGGTTTACCAAACGTAACAACAATGATGTGTGGATCTTGTTCGAATGAAAATGCCTTCAAGAATATCTTCATTGCATACAGACGCAAGGAACGCGGCGAAGATGTAGACTTTAGTGATGCAGATTGCTCATCTTGCATGGTCAACCAACCACCGGGTGCACCAAAGTTGTCTATTCTATCATTCCACGGCGCTTTTCATGGCAGGACACTGGGTGCCCTAGCCACTACACATTCCAAAGCAGTGCATAAGATTGACGTGCCAAGTTTTGATTGGCCCATCGCACATTTCCCATGCTATCAATACCCGCTCGATGAAAATCAGCGCGAGAACAAAGAGCAGGATTCGAAGTGCCTCGCTGAGGTTGAAGAACTCATCGCAAAGTACAAATCCATCGCTCCCGTTGCCGGAATCATCATTGAACCGATCCAGTCGGAGGGCGGTGATAATGAAGCATCTCCCGAATTCTTCCAGGGCCTACAACGCATTGCCAAACAAAATGGCGCCGCGTTGCTCATAGATGAAGTGCAAACAGGTGGTGGGCCCACTGGTAAAATGTGGTGTCATGAGTATTTCAATCTGGAAACACCGCCGGATGTTGTCACCTTCAGCAAGAAGATGCAACTTGGTGGATATTTCCACAACTATGACATGCAGTAAGTTTTAGTCAACCGGCAACTTTATATACACATAAATAACTTTTTTACTGTAGACCCCGTCAAGCATACAGAGTATTCAATACATGGATGGGTGACCCAGGTAAACTCCTGCTTCTGGAAGCCATTTTGAAAGTAATCAAACAGCAAAATTTATGATATTGAAGCCACCCTTGGCTCCGGCGCCCACTTGCGGCGAAGTCCGGAACGCCCACAACATCCGCGACCTACAACCCCCAGCGGAAGAGGCCGCATCCCAAGCCGACGAGCCACGAACACCGCCGACCAGACCGCGCTGAGGGTGCTCAGCAAGGGATGCTGAGCGACTCGGCCTCTTTACCATCAACATCGCTCGACGCCGCACGCACTTATCGACCTCTTCCGAGCATCATCAACAACCAAGCACAACCTACGCATCATTTTGGCGCAGTCGGTAGGATTCGAAGAGGTATGCAAAAATTCCATTATTGACCTACGATCCGGTAGAAGTACGCGCCCCAAGATGGCCGCTCTCGAAAAGTACGCGGGACGTAGAACCATGCAAGCCGAGTTATGGCTGAACCTGTTCGAAGTGGTTGTCTGCGGCAAAACAGACAACGAGAGGGTAGCCATGCTCATGGGCTATCTCGCGCACGACGCGCTATACTGGTACGCAGCGGACGTGGCCCCACGAATGGGCTCCATCACATGGGCGGAGGTCCGACACCAGTTAATCGCGCGGTTTGGCCGTCCAGTGCCCGTCCCGCTGGTGCAGGCTCAACGCCGCGTCCTAGAGCTCGCAGAATCACGCGAGTCGTGTTACAACAACAAGATGGGCTTTGGCGGCACGCCGCCGTCGTCGATGCCGCTCACCCCTGGCCCGCCGACCAATTTGCACATGGACCCACCACCGCCTGCCTCTACGCCCAACCCGCATCATCCGCTCACCGCTGGCCCGCCGCCACATGAGATGATGGATAACGACAGCCACCCTGTCGATGTCGACTTTCGCCAGCTCACGGTCCACCGACGGACCCCTGGCCAACTACAACAAACGCACTGCCTCACCGCAGTTGCCCAGCTGCCGCCTAGCATCTCCACCAGTGTGGGTCGCTTCCCGCAGCTGATCACTACCGAGGATGCCGACGTCGGCCGCATCCCCGATGTGGCTCACCGCATCCGCCTCGAGCCGGGTACCGCACCCGTCGCCCGCAGACCCTTCCGGCACTCCCAGCCAGATGCCGAAGCCGTCCGCGCCCAGGACACCACGGGTCCCATTAGGAGGTCCACGTCACCACCCCTCAATGTCGTCAGCACTGGTTCCGATGGCACGCCGATTGACGAGAGCTCACAGCAGTCGACCCTCCCCAGTGCTTCAGCGGCGTCCGGCGAGAATCCGCAGTGCACGACGCCCAAGTCTCGCAAGAACGACATGAGCCACTACAACCATCCCACGACGCCTCAGAGTACCGTGCCTTCTCCAGGTGTCGCGAGCATGAACTCGATGCACGAAGAATACGAGATCAGCAGTCCCAGCTGGTCGCGTACTCCTACATGTCCAGTATTTAAAACTCATCGGCCACCTCAAGAAACCTACCGTTCGAAGAAAACGGTTAGTCACGACAAGTTCTATGGAATGGACGACAATCCGGATCGCCGAAGATGGCTAGACAAGCTGCTCGCCTTTATGGAGGAGCGCCGCACGCCGATCACAATGTGTCCGACGGTCTCGAAGAACCCGCTCGACCTCTTCCGGCTGTACATGTTTGTGAAGCGACGTGTCCCCTGGCACCAACCCACGCGCCATAAGCTCACGGCTACGAGTAGTGGCCCCTACGTGGTTCTTCGGTCCCTAGGACCCACGCAATATCAATTGGAGAGGTTCTGCGTACGGACCTCACTTCGAGAGGGGGGAATGAAGCCACCCTTGGCTCCGGCGCCCACTTGCGGCGAAGTCCGGAACGCCCACAACATCCGCGACCCTAGCGGAAGAGGCCGCATCCCAAGCCGACGAGCCACGAACACCGCCGACCAGACCGCGCTGAGGGTGCTCAGCAAGGGATGCTGAGCGACTCGGCCTCTTTGCCATCAACATCGCTCGACGCCGCACGTACTCATCGACCTCTTCCGAGCATCATCAACAACCAAGCACAACCTACGCATCAATAGTATTTGTTGAAATCAGATGTCTTCCAACAAAGCAAATAAAGTGTCTATATGTATATGAATATAAAAGAGTTTTGTATAATACCCGCCGCCATTTTATGCAACACATCTTAATTTTGGTGTATATTTGACTGCCTAACCAGAGGCGCAAACATAAAGGTTATATTACAAAATTTACAATAAATAAATTCCTTCTTTCAATCAATAACTAATGTAAATAGTTTGTTAGAGTGCCTAATGCTTTAATATACCGTCTACCTGATGGTGCGAAGTTTTGTTACGAAATGTAAGCCTCTGCTTTGGATTGAATTGGTTTTCGACACACTGGACATTTATCTTGAATATTTTCGGAACAATCGTCACATAAACACACGTGTCCGCAAGGTAATAATATGATCTGCAACCCAAAATACAAGAAATCAAGTTAATATGTTTGGTAATGTTGAAAAATCATAATCTTACTTCTCTAGGATTTTCTTTACACACTATACACAATTGTATCTCTGATAGTGTATCATCATGAGCTCGAACTCGTTTTTTCTTCGCATCTTTGTCAATTGCCTTTGAATAATTGTTGTAAACTCTTCGAGCTATCAAACCAATAAGTACAACGCCCAATGAACCAGATATTATCGTTAACCACCTTGAATTAAATGTTTTAAATTAAAATTTGTCCAAAAACAGATAATTTTGATTGTACTTAAGTTATACTTACATATAATTACGTTTCTGTTCACCTAGCTTCTTAATTAATGAAGTAACATGTAAATTTGTTAAATAAAATGGCGTATTTGCTGCAGGCTGTAATTTTAACGATTTACCATCATACGATTTGGATAATTCACCAATGCCAGTCATAATTGTGCCCGTACGTAACATTTGTTCGGTTTTCTGAATGCCTTTCTGCCTCAAACCCATTACAAAACCATAAATATGTTGCAGAACACCAGGGGATGTGGGTTCAAAGATATCTGATATCACATCAAGGTCTACAAAACAAAAAATAATCAGATGTTAATAAGAAAATGATTATAAATGTAAATGTTACCTAAAATATCAGCAGCGAGTGGATCAACAATTTCCACTTGGAATCCATTCGCTTCCAGTGCAAAAGGCATGACATTTTTGGACTCCTGAATGACTCTTTCATGATCCGACCAGAAACCAGCTGATGATCTTTGCACCACATGTTCCTGAGTTTTGATCAACTGTATAACACCTTCGATATCTCTGTTGTTGACACTTTGGATAGGCTTGCCAATTGGAGCAATAACACCTTTGACTGCGACATAGTTGAGTTTCTTGTCTGGATGTGTGTCTACAATGTCTTTCAACTCCCTGTTGATTTCCAGCAGAGGAGCGCCCTAATAACAACAAATACATGAGGTAGATTAAAGAACGAATAACTGTTTAAAATGAGAAATCAAACAGATGTGGGGTTATAATGAAAATAGTTGAAAATGTTTTGATTACTTGCACCATTGAGACGGCATGTTGCCGGCGCAGGAACTGCTTGAGGACATACGTGAAGACGACGCCGTTTATCGCGATGGCGATGCCTTCACCCAGGTAGTCCATTGATGGTGATGATGCGCTATGTTTACTAATTGTTGATACATATTACACACATTACGTAAGCGCACACGAACATTATTACATTTGAGGTTGGGAGACGGAAATGCGATCAACGAACAAATTTGATAAGTTGATAGGTCGAGTAGATGAACATAAATTGCTTAGTAAAATAAGTACAATTAATTTGTTCTAGAAGTAAATAATTTAACAACATACTTGTTGTGGAATTATTTTATTTATTTTGTACTAGAGATTAGAATTGGGTTTGGATGATTAGATTATGATTTTTATTTTGCTGGTAAATGTTGGAAATATTTAAATTTCAAAGAATACTAATTAAATTGTCACGGGAATTAATCAATACTTAGAATAAAATGACCTTCCTTGTGATAGTAATTGCACGCCTGGTTTTTTTTCGAAAAAGTTTATTAATAATAATATTTATAAACTTTTACACGCGACCGTATTTCACATTTCACAGATATCGCAGAGTTTTCATGGAATTAATGGTACAATAAAGAATAACAATGAACAAATAACAGCTCAGTGAATGCATGCAATAATTGATATTATATAGAATACTTTATTTTAAAAACTAGGTTATGATAAGAAAATATACGCTGATTCTTTATTTATAATTGAAATAAAAGACAATCTATAATCTCTTTTGTCACAGCCGAGAATTCGAAAAAATATTTTGAATTTTTCAACCTAAATAAATAAAAGAAAAGAAGTTCTATTCACGAATCAAACAAGAATGTTAATTTTATTAACATTTGCGTCTGCAGCACAAAATAAAAACATAACGTGATTATTTCAATGTAACAATGTGTAAATGTTTTGATTTTTGCTTTTAATTTGTGAGATGTGAGCTGAAAATGCCGATTTTGCAAAATCAAATATTACATCACAAGATCCCACAAATATTAAACCTCAAAATGGAAATAAAAGTGAATTCACTAATAAACAAAGAACTAAACATAAATGATTCCGTTTACAAGCAAAAATAACACATTTATATATTTGTAGATTGTAAATTACACTAATTATATGATTATTTGCATTATGACAAGAAATAAACGCATTGTGTTAACTTGTAAAGTGAATAAAAATATATTTGCTTGCAAAATGATTCATTTAAGTTATAATTTTAGCCAATTTTAGTTTTCATCAACATAATAAAATTAATATTCCACAAATTAAATCATTATTGTTGAAAATTCGAATCAGCAAGTAATTAAATAATTCCAACGTTGAATTAATCAAGATTCATTCCTAAATTCCAAGAAAAATCAATTATAACCAAACCCAATCAAAAACTTGCATAACTCATCACTTTATAAACATAAAGAAACAAATATCGCCGCACGATATAATACCCGACTTTATTAGTATAACGTATCACGTTTAGTTTATCAACATTCGCGTATTAGTCATCGATCCTTATTATTATCATTTCAACTGTTCTCAGCTTTTCAAGTTCAGTATTCAGTGTTCAATGTGTGCTCAGTAGTGTTCGGGTTGCGCTTGCAACTGGATTGTTCGTTTATCGCGTGTGGATTATTACATACAACTAAACCGCAGAATAAAGTGAACAAGTAGTACTTGTATTTGTTATGCAGGGACTGCACGACAGTCTGCGGTCGCTGTCTGGACTGTAGCAAGGTGCTTCAAGATGTGTTATTTTTAGTTGCGACAATTTTGCTCCAACATAACTTAACTCTACTTAAGTCTATTTACTTCGATTCTCTTGACTTGTGAATTAAATAATGTGCTCCTACCAATAGGATTAAGTTCAATTCAGGTGCTAAAAGATTTAATGTGAGTACAAAATGCAAATATTTAAATAGTTGTGCAATTGTTGTGATAATAGTACCTTTTCTTTGATTTTGAGTGAAATTTGTAGTATTTTGTTGAGGTTATGTGTATGTTATAATAAGCTTTCATATTTGTTTATAAGCTGATTAGATTATTTTTTTAAATGGGTTTTAATTTATTCCGATTCGCGCTTTCTTATTTTTGATAGTGCGTTGTTTATTGAAAATATGTGTATGGTTGGTTGCATATAGTCAATGTCTACAAGATGAAATAAATATTATTTTTCGCGAATATTTAATAAAACTAAAACTTATTTTGCTAGCATATATTTTATTTAAATTTAATTTTTAATTTTATTCCCTATTATGTTGTGTTTTTAGTATTTTATGTTTACTTTTATTATAATAAAAATTAGTTGTATGTATGCTTGCATATATTAAAATAACATTTCCGTAAATTTAAAAGGTAATAAAAATGGAGGAAGTAACAAGCTTAGGCGATTGGTTGAAAGTATGCACCCTCGGCTCAGGATCCTTCGGTGTTGTTACCTTATGGCGTCACCGCTCTTCAAATGACATGGTTGCGATTAAAAAATGCCGCTTTGATAAACCACAAAGCATCGAAGATAAACAACGCGCACGCTGGACACAGGAAGTTGATTTTATGCGCAATGTCCAACACCCGAATATCGTCGGTTACAAACAACTACCCAGCAATTTTCTCGCACAACTGGAACGTTACAATTTAAGTCGACTGCCATTACTGCCAATGGAGTATTGCAGCGGCGGTAATCTGCGTCGATTGCTTCTTCAATCGAAACACGCTTGTGGCCTTCGTGAACCGGATGTGCGGCGTGTCCTGGATGATATTGCCGCTGCCGTCAGCCATTTGCATCGATGTCAGATCACACATCGCGACATCAAACCGGAAAACGTCGTGCTACAACATGGCGCCGGCGGAAGAATCACTTATAAACTGATTGATTTGGGATATGCGAAAGATATGAGTCTGCTGATGAGTTTCGTGGGGACATTGGCGTACACCGCACCGGAAATATTCAAAAACGAGAAATACAACCACAGCGTAGATTACTGGTCATTCGGTATCATGGCGTATGAAGTGTGTTGTGGGAAGCATCCATTTTTACCAAAAGTCCCACCGGTACAAAGGTAATTCTATTAAATATCAAATTTATTTACAAAACTAAACTTTTTATTTATTTTTTCATCAGATTTGAGATGATAGCGAAGAAAGGACCACGTGACATCTGCGTTTATCAAGCATCCGGCAATAAAATCATCTATACCGATAAAATCTTCGAACACAATCACATTTCAGCGTGTCTCCGCACACATCTCGAAGATTGGCTCGGTTCAATGCTTCAATACAAAAGCACAGAAAGAGGTGTTACCCAAAGCGGTGCAAATGTGTTCACCGTACTTAAATCCATCTTGGATAAACAAATTCTTCATGTTTTCGCTGTGTATAATTACACACATCACTACTACGAGATTAACGCAGCCACTAAACTGCATCATCTACAATATTTCCTGCAAGAAAGCACTGGTTTGCTTCCATCAGACCAACTCATTGTCACTTCTTCAACGAACCTATCAAAAGCGGACTTTTACAACCGTCTTTTATCTAATAACTTAAACGCGTCACTTATTACTGATCTGGGATTATCTTCTCAGAGTACTTTGATTTTATTCAAGAGGAATGAGTACATAAACCCTAGGAAGTTGATTCTGCCACCGGCGGTGAAGAGTTTGATTAATATGTCGGAGGAGATTCCATGGGAACGTCTCAATGTGCTCACTAGTCAAGCAGTGCATTATATTGAACAGGAAACAAATAAAATGCACACGATTTCGATGGTTGTGAATGAGTTGTTTGAGTTTTTGCGGGTTATTTTATCCGGGCAGGATGGTTTGGTCCGCGGGATGAAGGAAGCTGGGAGGAAAGCGTTGATGATGGTGGAATTTTGCAGTCAGATGAACAGTGATTGTTGGTATGATAGAAGCAAAGTAAACGCGATCAAGAATCAACGGAAACAGATGTGGCGTGTGAGGGAGTTGATCGAGAATGTCAATTCGGCGATTGTGAGGTTCTACAAGTCCAGGACGAGGACAAGGTTATTGAGGGTGTCTATGGATAGGGTTGTTCAGTGGATGGATGGACTGGATATTAATTCTATGTAAGTAATGTTGTTTTACTTGCTTTTTTTTATAATTGCAATTTTTGGACCTCAAAACGATCGATTTTGAGCTGGTTTTTAAGATAATCTTTACATACGTCTAACGGATAATTCTGTGAAGTTTGGTAGCCAAAGTTTATCTTGAAGGGTGTAAAAAGGGATAAAAGTTAATATAAAGGTATAGTTATAAAATTTGAATAGAGATGGCGCTAGGATGCACTTATTTGCTTAAAATTAATGAGATACTTCTTCGAAAATAATTTATATTTTCATTAATTAGTAAATTATTCCCGTACGAAGCCGAGACAGACTTGTAATCCTAGTGTTGAGAGAAAAACGGATAAAACTTTAATTTTGTTTTGGGCGGAATGACAAATTCACGTTCATAAATGAATTATTGCGAGACATCTTGCATTATTAGAGAAGTTTTGATATTTATTAGATACGTTTGTTCGTCTGGGTACTTAGACCTTAACTTTAGGGTTTAGACTACTTAACCCCCTAATTCGATATTAAATTTATTACCTTCAGACAAAAACAACTGCGAAACACCCAAAAAAATCAAGGGTTTGATTAGTCTTTTTGTGCCGTAGAAAGAACTTTGTAACAAAACAAACGAGACACTAAAAAAGGAGCTTTATAACTGATTATATATGTTTCAGTCTTAATAATAATAATAATAATAATCTGACGAATAATTAGTTTGAACATACAGATATTATTACACAGGCAAAGAAAATAAACATAAATCCGCTGAAATGTGTAATATTGTGTCTAGAAATGAATGTTTATTTAATTAAACATTATTATAGTCAATTTTATCTGTGTTGACTTTGTGACAGACTTGTGGTTTAATATAAAAGCGGAAATATGATATAATATGGATTACAATGTTGCATTAAATCAAAGGATGCTATTTATATCTTTAACTTTCATAACATTCACAAGTTCAAATCAACATGAATGAATCAACACATTTCGCTACATTGTAACACCAAACAAAACGCGTTTGATGTGATATCGCTTTCTACCAATCATATCGTCGCTCGACCCTGACGCAAGTTTATATCATGCGCATTCTCTGCAAAAAATGCAAATCGATGACCCAACGGTTCAAAACATTTTATTCTGTTCACACCACAAATATTAAACAAATATTTATGAATATTGAAAATCAGCGTACAGTACAGTGTTTACTTTTTGCGTATTATAAATACTTATGAAGTTTTTGTTTTATTTCTTTGTTTACAGTTATGATGAGGCATTGAAGTTGATGAATATAGGCAACCAAAAGACCTCTATCAACGCGTCAGGAATCTCCCGCATCATCTTTAAATGCCTGAAAACCTGCACGGAAATTCAACAAGACGAAATGATTGTTCATCATTTCAAGTAAGATTTATTATATATTTATTATTTATTAATATTTATGAAATACATGAGTTGTTTTAATGTATTTGTTTTGTTTGGTGTTCAGTTTGTGTTTTAAAGTATTACGCGAACATAACAAACTCACCCGTTGGATGCGTGCATTGACTGAGCATTTGGCAGTGGCTACGGTGGACTTGTTGGACGCACAAAAGCAACTCAGCCGAAGTGACGGCCAGACACTTCGTGCGGAAAACGCCATGTCGGCCGGCAGCAGTGAGCGGACGATTGATATTCAAGGCGATGCGCTGCTCAATAATGGCGACATCCATCAGGAAACGCCGGACTGCTCTCAGGAAGACGGTTTACCAACTGTTGATGATCTCGTTAAGGACAATCGAATTCAAAGATGCAGGTGTGGATTTAATTTATGGTTATTTTTGGAAAATATTCATTATTTATATATAGATGTCGCTCGGAACACTAAAAATCTCAATGTTTACATTAGCGCCATCTAGAATTGAATTATATAACTTTAGTTATTATTGAAACTTTATATTGATTTTAATCCTTTGTTTTAACATTTTTATTTATCTTTTTGTTATAAAAAGTAGCCTATTTGCTTTTCCATGGTCCAAAGTATCTCTACACCAAAATTTAACAAAATTGATTGAGTGGTTTTTGCGTGAAAGCGACACAAACATACAAACTCACATTAAATATGAATAAAAGCAGCTTTTTAAATTTTTTCCAGAATGCAAGAAGTTTTAGAAGAATTACTCGCCATGCACAAGAAATACGCCATCCATGTTGAAGAATTTGTTCAATACATCGACAATATTACCTCAACTGATTAACTTGACCAAAAATAATAATCTTAAAGTTTGTGTCTAATTGTTAGAGAGACTATTACCTGATTTATATGATGTTCATGATGTTTGTTCAAATGTTTTTAATTATTACTATTATTATTATTATTATCATAGTTTATACATAAATTTTATTACGAGTTGCAAAGATGAAATCAAACCTGATATTATTAACCAAGTACGATTTCACATTGACGATTGGTATAAGGATAAGCTAAACGCCTTGTTGACGACAATTATGTAAATCTGTTTGCGGTTCATCTTAGTCCTTTGTCAATATTGCTTTAAAGTCAGAGTGAAAGTGGGAGATTGCTTCGTGATCGCCGGGTTTTAAGGAGTTTAACTTGCGAGGATAACCGTCGTCCGTCGTTACTGCACTTTCGCACTTTGCTAACTCCTTGAGTCGATTTTCAGTTCGGTAACTAAGCGGATAATTCACTTTTGACGCCATTTTAGAAGACTGTTGTACTTACATCAGTTTTGTTACGAAGTTTAAGTGACACGCCATTCTTTTGTCTCTAATTTTGATTAAATGAAGATTACCAATACATAACCTACTTGCATAACCTACAAATATTCTACATGTAATTAATATTTGAATAAATCGGCATTAAGTTACGTCTAGCATAAGAAAATCATCAGACCATCAAAGCAAACATTAATAATTCAACAAAATTTTGAACTCCTTGGAGATTGAGCGTAGATCGGCGCAGATGGCGACGACTCACACAACTCCACTGCATATTACATATACTACGTTGAAAAAGTTGACGCCAGACACTCGCGAGAGGTGCGAAAGGTGAAGCACCGAGCTGGCAAAGTTCGCTAGATTGTTTATCTGATATATGAGCGCATGCTCAGAGACACCTGAGGGCAAATTCCTCCCTTGACAGATTGCCGTCACGCGCGCACCTTATCTCTTACGTATTTGATTATAAATGATCTTCGATTGCTATTTTTCAACTGGTTTAAGTCAAAACCTTAAAAAACCTTTAAATTGAAAGCAATTATTTCCATTAGTGTTTTATTAATACGTTAATTTTGTTGAATTGTTGAATTTAACATTATAATAAGTAAACAGGATTAACTATTTAATTCCATGCAGTAAAACATTAAACAAATCAATTGAATCAACACAAAACTAAAAGGATTGCATTGAATATTAATAGAGTAATATTACGTGCACAGTTGAGCACTAATTAACTGCAATTAAAAATTGCCCATTCTGTTAATGACAAGTTTTTGTTCGAAGGCCAGATTTAATATAATATTTTGCATGTTTTAGCGCAGCTGCGGATGGTCGAAACGTGATATAATGGAAACCAACTTCAAAGTGGGAAACTTTTACGATGCATTATTAATCAGAGAGGTTTTCCATGAACTCATATTCATAAACAGCTAGTTTCGGGTAATAATTCTTCTACATGTGCGTTTTATGACGCTATAAATGTGTAGCAACTTTATGAAACTTGTTAATTATAAAATATGCATGTATATTAATAGTATTAAACAAAGTGTTAGTTTTTTTTTTCTCACAGTTTAATGAGTGAAATTTAATGATTCGTATTGAAGTCAATCGAATTTTAATTGACTTCGAGTTTTAATTGCCAGATCGAAGGGATGAGAAGAAGGCAATTAGAGGCCATTCGGCTCGTTATTTCGTCGAGGTAAATTCGTTAAGTAGCGAAGTTTCGAGACGTGAACAAGCAATAAATTCACGTGAGATGAAGATAAAAAAGTTTTCAGTTTCATTGTAAACGTATTCAATTAGAATCAAAATCATAGTATGCAACCCAATATACTCTTTAGGATGCAACGTAAATCTATCTTCTTCTTCTATAATATAAAAATGAATCGCAAAATCTGTTGGTAAGCGCATAACTCAACAACGCCTTGACCAATTTGGTCAATTATTTTTTTTTTTTAATGTTTGTTAAAGTCCAAGGATGGATTTTACGTCGCGAAAAATTCGAATAATTGCCGGTAAAACCCTAAAAACAGCCCTATTCTACAGGATAAAAGTTGACATTGAGATTCAATCATAGTTATAGTTGAATAGTTGAATCCGAGATGGCGCGCTGAAGTGCATTATTAGCCATTCTTTATATAATTATTTTCTTTAAAATAAAATTGCGAATCTTATTGATAGACTTGACACATACTATGTCTAGAACAAAAGAGTAAAAGCGAATTACATATTTATTAAACACTACCTAGTAGCTAGTACATAATATATTGTTTTGTGTTTTAGGAACAATTGAAACAAATGATTCAGTAAACACAGCTAATTTAGCGATCATTCACGCGAATGCTCGCGAATTATTCGTCTCATCAACGTCGAGCGGCCGAGCACAATCGAGCGCGAAGAAAAGGCGAACGCGTTGCGACGGCAACGTCAGATTGATATACAATAATTAATCCGTTTTAACGACCGGATTTGTATCGAACATTAAGCCACATCGCCGCGTCGGCGTTTTGGCGGAGGGAGGATTGAGTTGTATTGTACGCCACCACCGCCGAGAGAGTTTCCCGGGGCGCACGCTAGGCGGAGAGTTATGTTCTTCGGAATAGTTCGACATCCGGGACAAATTCGTGCTAACTATTTGCATTTGTTTTCGTCCGCAGCGCGCCACTTTCTACATTCACGCATACAATTTAAGTTTCAGATGGCGGATTTTGGAAATTTATAGTTTGATAAGTGAACGCGTTTATTCGTTCAACTGCAGGCTACCAGGAATACTCGTTATTTTGTTTGGTGTAAGTTTTGTTCGATTGGTTGCCCATAATAATGTTTTCACGTGATATCAAAGGGTAATATACAAAAATTACGCCGAACCAAATCATATCGGAGTGAATTTATGCTTCAATGTATTTGTATCAAACACACGTCAAAAAGGTCAAAGGAATTACTAGGAATTTAAATTTTTGGAGCAGGTTTGTGTGCGTTAATGATTTTGCATTGCTAACAAGTTTGTTAATGTTAATGAATAATATTTGATTTAATAATAATTATTTTAAAATAATGAGTGGAGAAAAAAGAATAGCATTTTAACAAGCACATTTCCCACTGAGTTGTGCTCAAATAAATTTACAAAGCGAAAGATAGTTTTGAATGAACAAAGAGTAATTTATTCTATACTAGCTTTTGCGCGCGACTTCGTCCCGGTAGTGTTTATTAAAAATGTAATTCGTTTTTACTTTCTTGATCTAAACATAGTATTTGACAATTCTATCAATAAAATTCGTGATTTTATTTTAAAGAAATTAATTATATAGAGAATTGCTAATAATGCACTTCAGCGTGCCATCTCGGATTCAACTATTCAACTATAACTATGATTGAATCCCAATGCCAATTTTTATCATATAGAAAAAAGCTGTAAAGGCAGCTAAAGACAGTTTTCCCGGGAATTATTCATATTTTTCTCAATGTAAAAACCATCCTTGGACTTTAACAAACATTTAAAAAAAGAATTGTCCAAATTAGTCTAGGCGTTGTTGAGTTATGCGCTTACCAACAGATTTTGCGATTCATTTTTATATTATAGATTCTCTTTCTACTATATCATAAATTGCCTGATTGTTATTCTTGTTATTTTCACATTCTAAGGATTTAGGGGATAATTGGTAATTTTTTTAAATAATTTTTTTATTTTCTTGTCAAAATTTACAAAAATCATGTTTAATTCCCAGCAAAATACTTCCTGAAGACTTTACAAAGCTCGTTTGACAATCAATTCATAACAGTCCTTAATCTGCTCAGTCTAAAATTGTATAATTTAATGAGTTCAATGTATTGGGTTATTCGTCATTCATTAGACAAGAACATGGTTGAAAAAGCAACATGCTATCCAATTAAAATAGAACATGATTGCAAACGAAAGAAAGAAAATTTCAAATCAAAATTTTTCATTCAATAACTCACCAGTAGCTTACTCGTAAACTGGTAAATTTGTGGACAAATGAGACAAGTCAAAAACACATACAGATGATTGTTGTTCCCTGCGCGTCATAAACAACCATAAAATAATACTCGGAACGTAATTTTTGAAAAATAAATAAAGCAGGATAATGACGAAAATTATAAATATCAAAATGTCAAAAAGCTGCCACTGGCAGGCCTGGGCCAAGAGGTCATCCGAATTCAAGAGGCATGCACTTGCTTTTTTTAAAATTAGATTTAATTTATTTTTGCGTGCCGAGCTACCTGTTTTAATGGATTGTATTTTCAACATGCTTTTTGGCTCAAATTGGCTTAAATTCCATTTTGTACTGTTATATTTTTATTTTGCGTGGGGTCACGTAATTTATAGGCAACCAAACAAGCAATTCTGTATTTTTTTTTGTTTAAAAATACAGAAAACTGTATTACCTTTAGTGCAAAAGTAAATAAAAACTAGCCTTTGCCCGCGACTTTGCCTCGGTAGTGTTTAATAAAAATGTAATTCGTTTTTACTCTCTTGTTCTAGACACAACAGGTGTCAATTCTATCAATAAGATTCGCTATTTTATTTTAAAGAAATTAATTATTTAAAGAATTGCTAATAATGCACTTCATCGCGCCATCTCAGATTCAACTATTCAACTACAGTAGAGTCCGGTTATAATGACATCGAAGGGAATTGACAAACACGTCATAATAAGCGGACGTCATACAAAGCGTTTTGTGAAATGAAAACCCTTTTTTATGTAAATACACATACATATACATACATATTAAATCAAAATCAAAATTGCACGTAATCAGCACATTATAACACATACAAGTGTATTTTTTACTGCAAGTAATCTGTAATTTTTGTCTGCTTTTGTTTTTTCATTTAATTAATTTTCTTGTGATTTTCGAAGCATCTTTGGTTTCAAAACATTTGAATTGAACGATTGCTTAATACGGCTCTTGTTTTTTAAAAAGCATTGAGATTGTCGAATGACCCACGCCAAATTCGGATTAATGGAAAATACGGATTAAGTCGTGGTCAAGGTGCTGCTGCCCGAATGCTTATATTTACTATTTAAGCATTTGGTCTTCCGATAGTAAATACATAAAAGTAATTTGACAATAGGGTGGTCCTTAAAATGCATTTTTTTGAATTTCTTTGCTCCCAGGGCCTTAAACGCTTTCAAATCGATAAAAAAAAATTCCCTGAAAATTTGAGCTCTTAATATTTACTTTAAGATAGTCCGCACTCTCAGATAAGGTTTTTATGGAGATTACTTGGCAGAAAATGGATTTTAAGTAACAAACCGTGACATATTTATTGTAAATATAATTCTCCATGTAAAAAATACCTCATACATATTTACTGCACCTATTGACTTGATACTATTTAGAATATATAGCAAATAATAGCAAATAGGAGTTTATTGTTCAATTTTTATCAGAATATAAGCAATATTATGGTGATACTCGAAAATCAGCAATAGTGGATAATATGAAAATAGATTAAGGCTTAGTATTCGAATAGTCAATAGGTGCAGTAAATATAAAAAGTTCGCCACGTGTCGAACGTCGTCGGGTATCAACGAACATTACCGGAGGTGTAAAGAATCATGTTGGTCATTATAACCGGACATAATCTATTAAAAATGGGTCATAATAAGCGACATGTCACTGTAAG